TGAAAGTAGGCAAAAGGAATGACAATCTGTTACAATGAGTATGTTACAGAGTAGACAACCACCAAGGGCATTTTTGTGAATAGTAATTTTTTGATTTGCATTTCCCTGATAATTAATGATGTTGAGCATCTTTTCACAGACTTGTTGGCCATTTGTATGTCTTCTTCAGAGAAATGTCTGTTCAAGCCCTTTGCTTACTTTTTAATTGGGTTATTTTTTGGCTGTTGAATTGTAGGAGCTCCTTATATATTTAGGAAATTAACCCATTATCAGATATATGTTTTCCATTCTGTAGGCTGCCTTTTCACTCTGTTGATTGCTTTCTTTGTTGTGCAGAAGCTTTTTAGTTTAGTGTAGCCTTGCATGATGACTTTTGCTTTTGTTGCCTGTGCTTTTGGTTTCATATCCATGAAATCATTGTCAATACCAGTGTCACAAATGTTTCCTTCTATGTTTTTTATAGGAGTTTTATAGTTTCAGGTCTTTCATGTAAGTCTTTAATCAATTTTGAGTTGATTTTTACAAATGGTAAAAGGTAGATGTCCAATTTTTTTTTTTTGCATGTGGATAACCAGTTTTCCCAAAACCATTTGTTGATGAGACTATTTTTTCTACGTATGTGTTCTTAGCATGCTGGTCAAAGATCAGTTGACTGTATATGTATAGATTTATTTCTGGGCTCTCTATTTTGTTCCATTGGTTTGTACATCTGTCTTTATGCCAGTGCCATACTGTTTTCACTATTGTTGCTTTGTAACATAGTTTGGAATCAGGAGGTGTGATGCCTTCACCTTTGTTCTTCTTTCTCAAGATCATTTTGGCAATCCTGGCTCCTTTGTGGTTCTATATGCTTATTATTAAAAGAACAAAGGATACGTATTGATAAGGTTATGGAGAAATTGGAACCCTTGTACACTGTTGGGGGGGAAATGAGCAGCTGTTGAAAAAGCATGGAGATCCCTCAAAAAAAAAAAATACAACTACCATACGATCCGGCCTTCCTGTTTGTGGGTATTTATCCCAAAGACTTTAGATCCACATCTCTAGGAGATAGTGGCACCCCCATGTCCATTGCAGCACTATTCATAGTAGCAAGATATGGAAACAACACAAGTGTCCGTTAGCAGATTAATGGACAAAGAAAATACAGAATCTAAACAAAATGGCATACTATTTGGCCTTTAAAAAGAAGGAAATCTTGCCATTTGCAACAATATGGGTGAAACTGGAGAACATTATGCTAAGCGAAATAAGCCAGTCACATGAGGACAAATACTGTATGACTCCATTTATAGAAGGCATATAAAAGAGTCAAACTCAGAAGAAGACAACTCAGTGGTGGTTTTCATGGGTGTGGGTGGGGGAAATGGAAAGTCATTAGTCAATGGATATAAAGTTTCTGTTATGCTAGAGGAGTAAATTCTAGAAATCAGCTGTGCAACATTATGCCTATAGTTAACAATATGGTTAGTGTATTTAAGATTTAGGAGAATAGGTAAGTGTTCTCACCACGAGAGAGAGAGAGAGAGAGAGAAGGAGATGCTGGGAGATGTTGGGTATGTTTATCTTTTTATTATGGAGATGATGTCATGGGTGTTTGCATATGTCCAAGCTCACCTAATTATACATATTAAATATGAAAAAAATGGATTTCAGAAAGATTTCCTCTGCAGATGAAGGAGGGAAGCATTATCTGTCAACTCACATACTCCAGTGGTGAGTCATGGCTGTCAAGCATTAACTATCCGAGTCTGCATATCTACAAATAAACTCAAAATTTCCACAGACACCCTCATGCTGTTGCATCCTGGAACCGAGGATCAAGGAAGGAAAGGCAGAGTCCAAGGGATTGTGTGGGAATTCCATATAATCATGGCTGGCAAAAGAGCAAGACCAGGAGACTTGGAGAGGGTTTAGAGCACCAACAACCACCCACAGACAGGCCCCAAGCAAGGTCCAGGCCATTGATGTGGGAAGAGTAGCAGCCTCCTGCCACCTGGAAAGGGGTCCAGCAGAAAAGATCGAGATACCTCTGGAGGTGGGGGCGTCTCCATCAGAAGCGATGTGACTCGCGTCCTGTCTAAGAGTCAGTTTCCGCAGCGCACGCAGCGCTGGTGAAGAAACCAAGCTTCTCCGAAGGACAGGAAGAGGCTCAGCACCCAGCCAGTGCGTGTGCTCATCCAGACTGGAGCAGCGGCGCTGGGGTAAACCAGAAGTTCTAGTGGCTGAAGAGAGCATTTTGTTAGGGTGAATAAACAAAGGTTAAGACAGAGCAAAGGAGAGCCCACCAAAGAAGGGAGACAGGCAGTAAGAAAGAGATTTCTTCTGGAACCCAGGTCCATAGTCAGTTTAGGACACAAGAAAGACCAGGATTCATACAGAGGAGCAGGAAGCAGGTTTCTCTGGAGATTAGAATCCCCGGAGGAGCAGCAGGACTGGGGGTTGAACATCCCTGTGTCAGGGGCCTTGAGAGGTAGTTTCAAGAAAGGGAGGGACCCTGACCAACCTGAGAGGAGAGCTAATGTGATGCTGGAAGCTAGAGCTTAGGTGTGACAGTGGCACTGGCCCCACCCCAGAGGGATGTGGCTGGTCAAACAGTAGCAGGGAGGGAAGAAGATGGGTGGGGAAGGGAGCAGGGGAAGAGCATGACGAACCTTCACCTTCTTCTCAGCTCAGACTTTGAAGCCTGTCATGAGATAGTGAATCATTTCCAAGAAGTCACTTTATGGTTGTCAAAGCCGTTTATGGACATCTTTCTAAAATAATGCTATTCTTCTTTCTCTCTCCCCACTTCCTTCCTTCCTTCTTTCCTTCCTTCATTTCTTCCTTCCTTCTTTCCTTCCTTCATTTCTTCCTTCCTTCTTTTCTTCCCTTCCTCTTTCCCTCCTTCCTTCATCCTTTCCTTTCACCCTCCCCTCTCTGCATCTATACATCTAGCAGGGAAAATGATCATTGCTCATTACCTGAGCATCTAATAGACATTGCGTGAGGTTACAGGGCAACCAGGGCTTTGGAGAACTGGTGCAAGGGGATCCTGGTGGTGGCTGTGCCTGGGGTTCGGGTTCATGGGAGGAAACAGAGGTAGAGCAGTGGGAAGGGAGGAGCTGTTCACATTCCTGAGTTCTAAGGGTGTTTGGATTTCCCAGGGGCCACACCTAATAAAAGACTGTGCATTGAGGTCAGTTCTGGGTTGGTGACCTCTGTTTCATCTTATCCTGATCAGAGGATGTGATTGGAGTGTGAACTCAGAGAAGGAGAGCTTTCTTGTTCTTTGTCACTCACAGAGAAGAGAGATTCCATGAGAAGCAGGATCTTCAGGGCTGTGCCATCATGTTGGACAGATCCAGCCAATCCTGCCTGTCCACCCCAGTAACATCTGCTCGCTGTGGTGAACATGGCACATCAAGGGTCTCTCCAGAGTGATGCACTTCCAAAGGAGGCAGCTGGTCCTCTCATTTCCTCTTCCAGGCCTGAATCCACTGAGAGATGGGGTATCAGTGACTCACATATTGCCTCCATCCCCGGGGCCTCCAGTAGGACCAGTAATACCTAGTGTTCATCTTCTCACCCACTGAGGAAACGAAAATGCTCAACACACTTACTCGGAGCTAAACATTAGGGTCCTGTCTAAGAGGCTTGGTTATTTCTGGTCCCAGAAGCCTGGAACTTCTCCCTGAGTTAACTCATTGCCACCCAAGAATCCTGTTGCCCGTAGCAACCACACCACAAAGGGTAGACAGTGAGGACAGACCCAAGTAACATCATTGTCAAACAATAAATACCAAAAAAAAAAAAAAAAAAAACCAGTTAAGCCAGAGGTTTTCATTACAAAAACTGGAATGAAGATAGATTAGCCGCCCCCAAATCCCGCTTCCTCTTATTCTGCATAAAACGCCAGCTGGCCAGAGACGCCTAACCAGACCCGAGAGGCCAGACAGCTCGAGCTGCTCTGCACACCAGGTGAGACTCCCCACTTAATATTTGCCCAAGGGCGTTTTATTTTGGTTGGGATCTCTTTGCCATGCTGCGGTATATTTATTTCAAATGAGAAGTAATTTGTGTTTAAGGTGACGACAGCTCTTTTTGACTTCTCACTTTAGATTACAGCTGTGGGACTTGGGGTCAGAAAAGGGGAGTGGTTTCTGTTGATCATCTTTTCAGTTAGCAGGAGGATATAGACTACAGCCCATGTCCAGGGCACTTTCGGTGACACTTTAATACCCTCTCTAATTAATATTGAGAATATGCAATGTTGAAGGCACTGCATTGGCAATGCGGATTCAAAAGATACGTTTTTCTTTACTCCAGGAACCTAACAATCCATCAGAGAACATGATATATGGGTGAAATTTGCAAACATACTACATGTAAAGTGATTAGTGGAGAGGGCGAGGCAGGTACTGTGCTGTGACAAGATTAGAAAAATGACTTAGAATCTGGCAGAGAGCCTCTGGGAGGAGAGCCATGAGGGGTGAGCATGTGTGGACAAGCAGGAACAAAATGGAAAGCCTTCCAGAAAGCGTGCACAGAGAAGACGATGTGAACAGAGGCTCCTAGGTGGAAGCACATGGGCTCAGGGCTTTTCCTGCGGGAGCTGAGGCACTCTGCGTGGTGGACATCAGAGGGTAGACTCCAGGCTTTGAACCTGATCCCGCTTTCAAATGATTGAAAACCTGGGACTTGGACCAATCCTAGCAGCCTGGCGTGATGTTGCTAATGTAGGTCTTCAGAGTCGCCAGGAGGAGAGGAAGCACAGGGAGAAAGGCTCCCCGCCCCTGGAGCGGAATAAAGCAGCTTGAGGCTCCTCCTCTTGAAAGTGGACAGGAACCCCCCAAGTTTCCCTTGATCTCAAATGCAGGGAAACAAAAATAGAGAGAAGAGAAGCTCTTATTTCTGAAGGGGCATGAAACAAGATATTTGCCATTAGATTTGGCTTCCTCCTTGTTCCACCAAAACACTGAGCCAGCTTTTCTGTCTCCAGGTCCAGCCTCCTTGGAAGCATGAGTTCCCACCAGCAGAAGCAGCCCTGCAACCCACCCCCTCAGCCTCAGGAGCAGCAGGTGAAGCAGCCCTGCCAGCCGCCTCCTCCTCAAGAACCATTTGTCCCCATAATTGAGGAGCCGTGCCGCCCCAAAGCTCCACAGCCGGGCAGCACCAAGCTTCCAGAGCCAAGCCATCTCACCATAGTTGAGCCATATGACACCAAAAATCCTAAGCCAGTCTACCCCACGGTTCCTCAGCCTGGAAAACCCGATGTAGCAGAGCCAGGCCCCCCACCAGTCATTCCAGACGCAACCCAGAAGAAGACCGGCCAGAAGTAACGTGGTCCACACCCATGCTCTTCAGGAGCCCCCGCCAGATGCCGAATACCTTCTTCCCTTCTGATTCTGTGTCTTCATTGTGTAGACCTTGTCTTCAGTATTTTCTCACCCTCAGTCACAGCCTCTCTCTTACCTGCATCCTAAAAATATGTGCTATAAGGTTTTCCTTACACACTCTGAAGAGACCTCGAGCTCTGAATTATGCACAAGGCCTTAGCAGCTTTGCTGGTCCTCAGCTGCTCAGGGTTCAGCTGAAGGGGGAACCTGGATGGAAAGAAATGTATGTCTCCCTTTCTGCCGCTATTAAAACACTGTTAAGCACACTCCTGGCTGTTTGTGTCACTGGGTGACTGTGCCCCATTCCCTGCTATCCCTTCATGAGTGGGACCTGGAGACAGAGAGGAGTTGGTGTAGATGTCCTGTCTCCTGCTGGTACCCTGTGCTTCCATCAGCGTGTGATTACATCGAGGGCCTCCCCTGGCATGCCAACAGCTGTGTGCAATAGAGGCCAGAGCCTGTCACTTTGGGCAGCCATGCCTGGAGCAGGGCTCTTCTCTGGCCCTGGACTCAGTTATGCCTGCTCCAAGCCACCTCTCATCCTGAGAACCCTGTCCCCAAGGCTCCTGTTATTCAACAACAACATCAAAAAAACCCCCGAAAACATCACTCCTACATACTTGAACCTGGTATTCTGGTTTTATTCTCTCATTTTTACCTTACAGATACCCAACACACAGAGACTCCCGCACACAAGGAGACATATCCATTGTAAACAGGCACACACTCATGATTTGATCCATGGGCCTCATATAATTAACGCTTCTACTCAAGTCCTTCCTAGCCTTCCCACTTCTAACCATAAATAGCAGGGATCATCAGAGGGGTCCTAGTGTCCTAAAGTGACGCTTCTATTTTGATGCACTTAGTCAAGGCTCCCTGACCCACGTTCTTGATACATACACACACCCGAGGCTACAAGTTAGGGCCCAGTGGTCTCCTTTGTGTTTCTTTCTTCTGGTGCTTCCAAAGCTTTAGGAAGGGTGCTGCTTGTGGCATGCTACCTTGTCTGCTGAGCCATTTCTCCAGCCTTTCATAAAGTTCCTCCTTGGGCATTCTACCCGAACACTGGCCATTTGGATTTCACTTTCCATTAGAGCTGAAGCTTCACAAATGAGTTCCAGGAATTAAGGGACATTTCATTTGTAATGTTATCCAAGGCCAAATTCAGAGTTGTTCAGGGTTCTGTAACAGCTGCCGGAAGCAGCAGCATCCTTCTGGCCTGACTACTCACAGCTTTTGTTCGTCCCAGGAGAGATATTTTGTCCAGTGTCTTAGATGGATTGTGCCTCTACCCATCTGGCAAAACGGGTTGACAGTGAGTGCAGCTGCATTGTCTGCTGTTTGAACTAGTTCTCTAGTCCTGTACCTGGGTAACCTTGCCCTGAGTGAATGAGAATGGGCTGAGGGGAAGGCACTTGCTAGACTGGTATTGCTCTTGGCTATCTGGACCAGCACAGCAGCTGAACTTAATATCCCTTCCAAAGGCGAAAAAGTTTAGGTTCAAATCAGTGGCAGAAGGACAAAAGGAGAAATAGTAGCAGAGGACAGAAGACTGAATAAATATATTATGCAAAGAGGAAAATCCAACATTACCTTGCTTCCTTGAGAGAGGCTCAGACCAAAAAAAAAAAAAAAAGAAAAAGAAAAACAGGTGATTTTCTCTTAGCAATTATACCAGATGCTCGAGAGGGTGAGGCCATGTGTTGGCTGAGGCCACCCCTGCTTTCGGAACTTTATAAAATTAAACAGAATTTTTAAAACCTGAGTGGCATCATCTGGAAGATATTTTGACTACACAGTATGATGGTGAGCTGTACCAATTATTAACGACCGAGCAGAACTGTAGTAATGTGCCAATGTTTTCTGACGCTTGTTTTCCAGGATACACGTACTGCCAAAGATATTATTGGGGGTGGAATTACCAGGAACTACTCCTATGGGGCCATCTAACAATGTAGCATATAATTCCCTGCAGACTGATCACTACATAACTATAAATCTTGATGACTGAATGCTTAGAGATTTCAGTTATGTTGGACTGTTATGTTCAGTTGTAATGGACAACACATAGCAGTATAAATATCATCTTTTTTGTTATGGATGCAAAGCAAATGAACATAATAGGAAAAGGTGATGAGTTTTGATGGGATTAAAGACAATAGGCATATCATGGTGGATCTAAATTACCCTGAGGAGTGGTCCCGCCTTGAGAGGAGAGCGCCTATGCAAATCCTCATGGAATACTCAGGCGATACCACGTCTAGGTGTGACTGCTACTTGTCTAACCCTATAACTGCCATATGGGTCCTCACATACTGGGTACAAAACACGTGTTCTAACCATACTCAAATAATTAGTACACAATGGCAACTGAAATAGTCTATAGGGGCCATTTGGTGATGACACTGCTTGTAGACACCTGGTCTGAGGTGCTGTAGTGATGGCTGTTCCCGGATGGTCATGGCCAGTGGTAATCCTGGTCTAAAGCTCTTCCTTACTGACAGCAGTAGTGACTGTGCTGGGAACCCCGCTTGTCTAACCAGCAGGATGTGATGCTATGTTGACACTGTAATCCTTCACTCTCTGGAGCAGAGCTGGTGACTGTTCCAGAGATTTTGAGTGTCCCCTCTTCCTCTTTCTCTTCCTCTTCTCCTCATTCTCTTCTTCCTCCTCCTTTCCTGTTTATGAAACCATGATCTTGAAAAGCTTCCTGATTATTGGGCCAAGACAAGGGAGGAGGCCTTAATAACATCACTTTAAAGATTTAATTTATAACAGTTAATCAGCCCTACTGGCTGCATGAAGACTTTGACAAGATATGAAAGGCTTAGTCACTCAATGCACTGGCATCATGTCAATGAACCCAACTGCACAGTTAAGAGGTATAGACTGGGGAGTGAGAGGACGACATGGCAGATTGTGGGATCTGGGGAGCTGAAGGAGAAGATGGAGAATAAACATGAAAATAAATTTTAAAAATCACTGTCTTTTAAAGACCGAAGCATGTTTGGAAAGAGTAGAAGATAGTAAATATATAAGATCAGCCGTAACTTCATCTTTCACCTAGATTCCAGAACTTCAGTGCTCTGATCCTCTCTCCCCTCCCGCAAACTACTCGCAATCACTTATGTGTGATGCTGTGAGTCTTAAATGATATCTTACACTTATTTTTGGTTTCATGCAATTTAAACCTGGTTTTTACTTATGAATAAAAAGGATTTACTTTCTGATAAAGGAATTTCAAGCACATAACTGCAGTCTAGGGGAGTGTTGGGGTCAGATGAGATGCAACATCCAGATTCCATTAAAAGTGTGTCCCCACGTTCCACAGTCACATAAAGCCAGCATTTTAGCTTTATTCCTAAACCAGACGGGGCCCTGCACCAGCCATGGCCCATGAAGAAAAGCTTCAGTGCCCAAGGGGACAGTAGAGAAAAGAGGATAGGTCAGGTCAAGGGCTGAATGGAGGAACTGTAGAAGAAATTTTGCAAGGTGAATCTCTGAAAAGGCAGAAATAAAGTCTTTCTCCAGGGTTGGAGAACATACTAGGGCATTGTTTCCCGAACTTTAGTTATTGCAAAAAGGCCCATCATATTTGTCATAATTGCTCATCACCTGTAACATGTAATCTTAATATTTTTTACCTTAAATTCACTTGATACTAACTTTTGCCATTTTTAATTTAATTACCTATAGGTAATCATGGGCATGAAATGGTAGGTGAAATGTTTAAATTATATATACATAGAGACAGAGACAGAGAGAGACAGAGACAGAGAGAATGTGAATGCTGGCAAGTCCAAAATCTGCAGAGCTAAAATCCTGCTGGGAAGCCATCATGCAGGGCAATTATTTCTTCCAAGGGGAAGGCCAGCCTTTTGTTCTATTCAGGCCTTCAACTGATAGGATGATGTGTATCCACCTTACAGAAAGCAACCTCCTTTACTCAATCTACTGATTTCAATATTAATCTCATCCAAAACATCCTTAGGCAAATCCCGAGAATAATGTTTGATCAAATATCTGGGCAACATATGCCGGTCTAGTTGACCCACATGTTAACCATCAAAACTTCCTGCCAGCACACCCACAAGTTTTATGAAGAAAGTGAAATAAGAAAGAGGTTTATTTGACTTATAGTCCTCTGTGACCATTATGAAAAATCCTGAATATAAATTAAAATTATTATTAATGATTAAGATGTTGTAAATGAATGGTAATTAACTCCAAAGACTGAATTAATAATTAAGTACTTTTAGCTTTCTCTTGAATTTACCATTAGATTCTATGTCAAAATGTTTTTAAGTAGTTTATGAATATTAAATACCTAGAAAATTGTTTGAATGGTATTGCTATTTAGACTGGATTTGCCAATAATTTCAAAAGTGCAGGAACACAGAAAATTTGAACAATCTTAACTTGACATTTCTTAAAAGGTGAAGGAATAGAAAGAAGTCAGTTGGGAGAAATTATGCAAGAGCAGGGAGTTTGTCATGTTGGGGAGTTGTGAGCAGGAAGCTTGCTTTCCATTACAGGTCTGTCTTTGAGCTGCCAGAACATTGGAATTACACTAGGTTAGGCGGTGCTCCTACAGAGCCCCTTGGCCTGAGGTGGAGCAGATTTATAAAGGCCACAAGGATCTACTTTGTGACCTTTACTTGAAGGAGCAAAGCAGTGAAAGGACGGCCCTAGAGGTCACTGTTTCACAGAATGTTTCTAAGTATCATGATGGAAAGGCAGGTGAGAAGACCAGAAACCTTCCCTCAGTTCATTTTAGAAGAAGAAAGCAGACTTGGGTTGGCAAGCCACCGATCAAGGGGAAATGCATTATAAGAAGGATCTGAGGCAAAGAGAAAGGTGTCACCAGGTAGCCAGGCTCTTTTCAGCCCACTGTGTACAACAAAATGGCAACCAGCTCACGTGGACCCGGGCAGGTAGGC